CCCACTCAATCATTTCTGAGCCTTCCACAAGGATCGTGGCTCTCTTCTGTTCTCTTACTTTCAAACCCATTCTTCCTTTGATCCGTATCTCTTCGAAGAGAAACTCTTTGGCCTCTATCCTCAGAGCTGACCTCCATTTTACTTTCTCCACGAAACCTCCCTCCACTTTCTCCACGAAGCCTCCCATGGAAAGAAGTCAAAAAGTAGTCTGTTCTCCAGCACTACTTTCTCCACTTTCTCCAGCATGAAACCAACTCTTGCCAACAAAGATGTTAGCAATAGGTTATTCCTAGCAAAAATGTTTCAATAGGGAATTACATATTATTATATAGTAAGTTAGCACCACCAACATTGTTTTAGGCCCCAAGTGTTTCTTGTGTGCTTCAGCCCTTGTATTAGGGCATGTATCTCCTTAAATAGAAAGTCTTTATCCAATTAAAATAAGTAGACAGGATCATCTTATGTTTTGGCAAATAGGGATTAGATAATGACCGATACTTGATAGTTCATTCTAAATTACAAAAGCATAGCATCCAGAACACAGATTAATGTGTAAACTATTTCAGACAAGTTTGTTTTCATTTTTCTTTTTCTTTTTATATAAGTTTAATTTTCATGTCATGTAAATGGTTGTACTTCTAGTTTAAATGAAACTTGGAGTTCAAGTTAAATATAAATCATGAGGAGAGTCTAGAAACCATTAAAAATAAGAAGGAAAAAAAACATGTATACATCATACTGTTTTCTCTTAATGTTCCTCACCATTATTTACTATTAGTATGTGGACATCCAGGAGGAAGATTGAACTACTCTTCAGATGTACAAGTTTGACAATAACGTTACCATTTGTCTAAGGACCGGAGGATTTACTTAGTGGCCTAGACCAGTCTGAGGGAGGACCCTTCTCCTAGCATATTCTGTTTTAGTTAACTAAGTTATTTTCCTTCAATAAATAAATAATACTTGTTTTAACAAAATTTTTGGGTATTACCAATCAAAACAACACCAAAATTTTATATATTGTGTATCATCACTGTTAAGACTAGCAAAAATATGGTATTGGAAGAGCATAAACTGAAATAATATTTTTATAACTTCTTTTGCAGGAAAAAAACAAAAGAAGAAAAGCAAATCACTTGAGTACCAGTTTCCGCCTGTTCATCTGCCAATGCTGTAGTTGCTCGCGGGGGCTTTTCCATTTGCTGCCATTATCTGCATCTGGGAAGCATCCATCTATCTCCATCGATTCTCTCATATTCTCATCAGCCATAGGTTCATTTTCATCTAGAGTAGACAGTGCTCTGCAGTCAAGAGGCTTGCAAAGACCAAAATCAGAGAGCTTCATGTGACCATTTTTGTCCAGTAGAAGGTTGTCAGGTTTGATATCTCTGAAAAAAAAAAAGGTTGAACTCATGAATGTGGATAATACAGATGCATCCAATAAACAATTCACAAACCCCATTTTAAAAAGAACCCTGCCTCTAACAAATTATTGAAAGTGTCAACAATAGATAAATCCAAACCTATGAATATAGTTATGTTTATGAATGGACTCTATAGCCAGGACACTTTGGGCAATGTAAAATCTAGCCACACTTTCAGTTAAAGTGTCTTCTCTCATCAGCAAAGTCATCATGTCACCACCAGGCAGATATTCCATTATTAGATACAGGTAATCAGCATCTTGAAATGAATAGTAGAGCTTCACAATGCAGTGGCTGGCAACTTCTGCAAGCAAGTTCCTTTCAGCTCTAACATGTTCCACCTATAATGGGAAAGCACGTTAACCAAGTTCTGTGCAAGGAAGGACTTAGCAACAAATTGTTTATGATAACTAACCTTAAGGACCAGAACAAATAATAGAGAACATAAAAATTGCAGGCTTCAAAGCAAATATTGTCTGAATAGTTTTACCCTAATGACATCCTATGGCATTGCTTCAATCATCAAATGGACAGACTAAAACAAAATTTGTATAGGCAACATAAAAAGAGAAATTTAAAAACATCATAACCAAAACAAACCAAGTGGCAGAGATTTTTGGACTGACCGTGTAATGCAGATATTTTATTATAAGAATATATGGGACAGAGTTGCACAAGGTAGAGACTACTATAAGCCCTGGTTAACCCATCAACATTCCATACAGTTTACATGACGTCTACACAGGAAAGGCAGGTAGGTCGTAGGTACCCATGATGTAGGACTGCCTCCCCTAATACCAATAAAAGTAGGACCATCTGTTTTGATGCCAACTGAAGTACGACAACGTGCACCAATACCAAAATGATGTAGGAGCTCCTACTACGATACAAATTGAAGTAGGATCGCATGGTCTAAATCCCAGAATTGTGGAAAATATCAAATTAGGGAAAATAGGCCTATGGTTGGATTTTTTTCAACAAAATTTTGATGTAGATTTGTCCTGGGCAAGGTCCAAAAAGGCTGTACTGTTTTGTATTGGTGGCTTTCCGAAACCCCAAATAAGGGGTTTTTGGAATTTGGGCCTTTTCAGGGGGTAGGCAAATCTAAAACCGACTACCTTAAACATTTAAAAAAAAGTTATAAAGTATTGAAACACCCGATACGCCTGTTTGTGCATATCGGGCGTATTGATGCTTTAAACCATGGTCCTGGGTAGATAAGGGGCAACCAAGTTTGCTATGGTTTGGAGTACATCTTGCACAAAAGGACAAAAATTCTATAATGTGGAGAAGACTAAAAATTCATGAAAACTAGGGTTCCAAATGGAATTTTGGGATGATATTTGGTATGATAAAAGGATATAAAGGTATATGGGGCCAACCAAGTATGAAGTAATCAGAAATGGTTTGGCACAAGGGAAAAACTGCCAAAACAAGAAAAAAATGGATTTTGATGTAAACTTTGACAAACACTCCTTTTTCTGACGAATTTGAAAGTTGTTGATAACTATAATGGTATAATGGTTTGAGAGTGAAAGAAGAAAGAAAAAACATGTAATCACTCAAATGGGTCGGTCCTATAATCTCTCTAGGTCCTTGGAAATCATTCACCAAAAGTCACACAAGCAGAAAATAAGCTCTAAAATTCATTCCAATACCTATATGCCCATTTTTTTTAACTCTTTTCACACATGTGCTTGCATTTTTTTTTATAAGTAACTTCAATTTTATTAGAAAATGGTTATATAAAATGGAGAAAGCTGTTACCATGAAATTTGGTCTTTCTGGATGCAGGTGGAGGATGCGTTTGCAATTGGGGGGGGGGGGGATTCAGGTGGCCTAAGATGTGTTAGGGCTGTTTAGTATGGATGGTTTGGGAGGAAAGAAATAACAGGGCTTTCAATGATAAAGAAAGGGATGAGGCTACTATTTGGGACTGTCTGCTGATAAGGGCTATTAACTGGGCTAAGGCTTTGGATCTATTTTCACTCTTCTCCTTTGATGACATATGGAGAAACTGGTAATTAGTTGCAAAATCTTCTCAAAATGGTCCTTGTTCTAATCCTTAACCATAGCTTTCAATCTTTGCAATTTTTTGTGAAATCTCACAACTTTCCAAGTGATTCCTCTTAAATCTTCCCTCCACCACTCCTTCAGCTTATGTGCAAATTCCAGCCGAATCAACCCCTTTTCAAACCTAAAAGGGGTAGGACCACCTAAAAGCCCTTTAGGCCCTAATCTAATAGGATAATGGTCAAAGGCCACTCTAGGTAGAGCTCTACAAACCAAACCTTCCCAATGTTCCTTCCACTATAGATTAAATAGGAACCTCTTCAGTTTTGACTAAAGGGGGTTTGCTTGAAAGTTAGACCAAGCGAATCGAACTTGTAAAAGGGGAATCTCCTTTAACTCACATGTTTCTATGAAATTGTTAAACTTTCTCATTCTAGTTAAAATCTGTTGATGAGGATTATTCAATTCACTCGAAAATCACATTAAAATCCCTACCATTGATTTAAGGTCCTATTTCTCCCACGTTTATGAGACCATGAAACACGCATATAAACAATACAAGGGTGGCCAGTCCTAAAATTAGGAAAAGCAGAAATTACAGAATTGCGACTATCATAAGAAAACTCAATAACCCCAATTAATTAAACAATTACTGAAATTTTAAACACAAACTAACTATGACCAGACAAATCAAACCACTAGGCCAAACCCAACAGACAACATGTAAAATGACCAAAATACACTAACTATCCACAAGCAACCCATCCAATATCTCCAGTCAACCATCAACAAAAGCCATTTGAGTAGATTCAACCACGCGATGAAAGGTCTTCTTTAATCTTTTTGAAAGGACCTTTGCCATAAATTACAAATTAAAAAGGGGAAAAAGGAATGAAGACAAAGTTAGTTTCTTCATTTCTCTCTCTTGTTTTTTTAACTGGTAAGCTTTTTTTCTCTTTTTTGGCAATCAGTACAAGAGATATAACCTTCATTTCAAGGAATAAAGTGAAGGAGAACAGAGATACAAACGCTGACACGAATCTCATCTCACCTGGCCCCTACTAAGCATTTCTGATTTCTTCAATTTTTTCATAGCATAAATATTGCCCGAGGATTTCTCCCGACATAGTCTAACCTGCAGTATAATAAGACCATAAGCAGCCAGTTCCAATTTAACAATAGATTGCAAAAATTCTAAAGCACAAGAAGGAGCAAGATTAAAAAAACAAAAACAAAAACACTATCATTTAGAGACAATAATTATGCATCACATATAAAAAACAAACAATTGTCACTGCAGGAGAAAATCACAACAGCAGGACACATTAAAAAAAGGCTATGATGTGTACTTTAGGCTTGTAGTGAAAAGAGCATGATATTATTAACTCTATACACAATCCTCTGATGCAACATACCTCTATTGGAAGTATTTCACATTTTAAAAATGGAAGTTACTTGCACTGAAATTTGAATATCATGCAAGACCAAGGTTCAAAATCTTGGTACCACGAGAGTTTCATTGAGTCAATGTTAAGACTTAAAAATTGTATTGAGGAGACGCACTGAAACACATAGGTATGCCTTTTTTGGTAAAAACACGCATACATATGCCTATAAATACAAAAATAATATCACATATTCATAGAGAACACTGATATTATGGACTAGGTAACCAAGGATATGGTATAGAACGTAAGAAAAAAGACTTGCCTATAGTAAATAAAACCCATATTGCATTTAATTAAAATGCAAATATTAAGATAGAGTGGAACTTCCTTTCGGATTTATGCAATTTATTTATTCAGCAACCTCTGAAAAACATAAGGTTAAATTAATCTAATCATATGGAATTTCTTAAGTGGGATCGATCTAATGCTAATCCTGACTCAGAAAAAAGGAGGATGCTTAGGCTGAAGGTATCATCATCATCCATGCCTTATCCCAACTATATGGTGTCAGCTACGCAAATCTTGTTTCGCCAACAATCATGACCAGCATTGACTGAGTCCCCAAGTCCCAAAAGTACCAAAAATCAGCACTGTCAGGTTATTATTAACTATATTAACTTCCTTATAAAGTATTATTTGATATAAGCACAAGGATGTAGAAAAGGTAACATCAAACAAAATGCACACTTAGAGTACACCACCTTTACACCCAATGTGATATATAGCCTAAAAATAAAATCTTTTCTTCTAAAGGAACTGAACTCTTGATGCACTAAGCATCGATTCATGATGAAACTGCATGTGACCAGACCATCTTAGTTTACTTTCTCTCATTTTATCACCTATTGGTGCTACTCCAAGGTTTCTTTGAATGACTTCATTTCTGACTCTATCATTTCTAGTTTTTTCACTCATCTATCTCATTCTCAGCATACGCATTTCTGCCACATTTATTGTTTGGAAAAGTTGTTTCTTGACTGCCCAACACTCTGCTCCATGACCAAAACAGTTTGGCAGAAGTTTTAATGCCAGCTGCCAACCTGACACATCCCTCCTCCTTTATCCAGGCATCGAATGACTCCACGAGGCAAAAATTTCTCTTTTCCTTAAACAGCACCCCTCCTTCTAAATGCTCCTAACAGATTGCATATGGAATCATAGACCAGATAAAAGCACCCTTCATTTGCAGAGAGAAGGAAAGCCAGGATTGAAGAGCCAACTGAATAGAATAACAAGACCAAGAGAAGTTGAATAGAGAACAAAAGAAAATGCAGTTACGACCCCATTGAGAGGGAAATAGAGAGATCTATTAGTTGTTTTGCTTTCTCCTGGGAAATTTTCCTTTAAGTTTGTCCTTCTGCGCCAACTTGTCAGACTGGTCAGGCAATGAAAAGAGTATCTTTAAGCTTATTCTGAATTGAAGAAAAAAAATTTTCATCATGCAATTAAATGCACAAAATCCAATGGCAGTAATCTTGTTTTTATCAATAACTAGAAATTTCATTAATTAATGAAGAAGATACAAGAGAACATCCTGGAGAGAGAGATAAACTCTCTTAACTCTCTCCAAGATGACAAAAAGGTATAGCAATTACAGAACAGCCCAGAAGAGTTGATCCCTTCCCACCCCTTGCTTTGCCAAAACATCGGCAAAGGCATTTGCATTCCTTTTAACCTACTGTAACTTGATCTCTATGTCCTGAGTAAAAAACTTAAACTTCCTCTCATTAATAAATTTCCACTAGCCAGTCTCATCTTTCTGCAGCCAGCTTTGAATCCCCCTTCAATGATCAACTTTCTTATATTCAGCTCCTTGGCTTTTTGGATCCCTTCCATCATAGCCAGGATTTCTGCCCTCAAGGAGTCTCCCACGCCTATTGGTCCCGAGTAAAGGGCAAAAAAAAAATTTGATTCCTATCTTCCTAAATTGTCCAGCATATTGCCGCTCTAGTACACCTCCAAAGGGTTCTCTCTCTCCTTCCTCTTTCTCCAGTTAACAAAGGAAGAAGCAAACAAGCCTTGAACATTTTCCGGGGGGGAGGGGGGGTCCACCTGCACCCAAAAAAAACGCATTCCTAAATATAAAGGGCAAAAGGGCAGAAAATTAATAAGTGGTGGCTAGTCTCACCATTAGCCTTGCAAAGAATGCACCACTTTGGGGAGAGGCACCAATTTTATCTCTTTCTTTGAAGAAGATCACAAGTATTAATTCTACCCAAGAAAACTTCCCAACAGAAACCACTTACCCTAGGAGGAATAGGCTTGTTCTAGACCTCCTTCACCAAAAAGGCCACAACTGAATTATTAGAAGGTTGGGTCAAAGCCAAAAAGAAGGAAGCACAAGAAAAGGAACCAGAAGAATCAATACACCAAATCCTACAATCCGACTCTAAAGGGTTCAAGAATACACCATCCAAATAGTGAAGTAAAACTGAAACACTAAATTCAGCCTTCCTGGGACTCCTAAACCCCAGGTTGAAAGACTGAAATTGAGCTAGAAGGTAACAAAAAGGTAGACACAGGCTCATCCTTAAAAATAGAAAGTCTAAAAAGGGAGGGAAATTGTTCTTTCAACGGGAGGTCACCCAACCACACATGTTCCCAAATTTTGACAAGATTACCTGAGCATAAGTTGTATTTGACAAAAGGAAGCAAAACTGGAAGAATATCATAGATTGATTTCCATGGTGAAGCTCTTGTTGCCTTGTTCCACAATCCAGCATCCCATCCATTAGCTGCAAACCCATGAATGCTAATAATCATCTTTGCCCACAATTTGTCCTTTTTAGCTGGCAGTCTCCATAACCACTTCTTCTCCTCACCAGGCTCCCACAAAAAGTCCCTCATTAGTTTTTCCAATTTTCCACTCACACCTTCTAGAAGTTTAAAAACTGATAGGTAGTATACAAGCAAATTAGCCAAAGTAGACCTAATACTGGGTTCCAGAAATTAGCACATCTTGGATTATCACCCAAAGGAAGCCCCAAATAAATCCAAGGCCATTGAGCCACCCCACAACTKAAGATTTCAGCAATATCAGATATCTCCCTCTTATCCACGTTGATCTCTGATGCTTGAAACATGGGACACGTATCAAGTTATGTGGGTGGCAAACAGTAGATAAGGTGCCAAATACCACACCCAAGACATTGCAATCAAAGAATTTATTTTTATCGTTAGTATAATCAACAAGCCTTTATTTCTGCAATGAACTAAAATAAATACAAAGAACATCCCCCCTGAATTCTACTCAAAGGGGGTGAAGGAAGACACAAGACATTTACTAATCACCCACAAGGAAAAACAGAACAGAAGCAGGAAAAAGTACAACTATTCCAAGCTTAAAGCTTCCTGGTACAGATTTGCACCCTTCCTTCTTCATGCTAATCCATCTACCAACAAATTGGTTAACCAAGGCACTTTATTAATAAAAGAACCTCAGACATAAAAAGAGAACCTTTTTTTTATCAGCAATGCAGAAAAAGAGAACTTCCTATCGAATGTTTAGAAGAAGATCCAGAACAGAAATAAGATAAAGAAAACAAAGCAAAAGTACAAATAGCCCTGAAATCCTAAACAGGGAAATCAAATGGCATAATGACTACCCTGCCAAGTCCATCCCCCCAATACAAGGATTCTCTGTCAACCCTGCTCCTAGCTAGACCATCTGCCAGAGAACGCTAGCTGATTACTGACGTAACATTGTTGTCTGTATATCATTCTTTCTATGCAAATTTAATAAAATTCTGATTCTTACTAAAAAGCATCATTCAGAAAGGCAATGATCTTTCCTCCCTTGGTTCCGTAGAGCCCAAGGGCCACCAAACAATAATCTCAACCATTCTGTTTCAACTGATCAGTCTCCTTCAATCTCTAACCTTTCTAAGTTAAGGGAGTAGGCAAATCTCAGTACTTGTAACAAGGATAAAACCTTAGCTCTTAGTGCACTTCGTTCTGTGATGGGACCAGAAGTATGCTACAATCATCTCTCTACATGATACAAAAGGCATCTCAATCTGATAGCCCTGGGATTCCTAGAGTGCATTTATTTATTTATTTATTTTGATCAATAACAGAATTTCATTACTTTCACAAAAGTGATTACATTGAGGAAGATAAACTTTCTTATCTTCCAACTGGAGCTTAAACTCCCAAGAACAATAAGGAAAAAATTACACTTGTGCCCAAAACATTGACTCCCTCTCGACTCCTTGCTTAGCTAACCCATCCTGGAGTGCATTTATTCATGTTGATATTACAAGATTTTGAAGTGGGAGATCCAATGCCTTCGAATTCGTTTTCTCAGCCAAGAAAAAGATGCTACCTCATGCCATGCCATCCCCTAATAATGAAAACAATAGGAACCCCTCTAAATTCTTCTCTTGTGGATATCCAATTGGCTACTCATATTACCAAAGAAATTTATAAAAAGTAAAATCTATGACCAAATTTGATTCAATTTTTTGTACTGGAAATTTTCATGTTTCTCTTACAAAGGGCCGAGTGATAGGCATCGCCCATTACAACAAGAGAACAAAAATTTWAAAAAAAAAAACATCACAAGTACATGCTTCAGCCTATTCAAACTCTAAAGTAGACCCAAATTCTTCTCTTTTGACCCCCCCCAAAAAAAAAAAATTCTGGAAGAACTAAAATCCAATCTAAAAGCTTTGATACAATAACGACACAGAGTTTCTCCTTGTGTTTCAATTTTTCTTCAAAGATTCTTCTATTCCTTTCCTTCCACACCTCTCAACACATTGCGAAAGGAACACAGCTATATAGGACCTTTGCTTTCCAATCTCCATTGAGAACTGGCCAGAGTGTAAAAATATCTTTTGGAGACTCATTTTGAAGATGGAGAAGAAATGAAAAGGTGGCTTAACAACTCATTGCTCTTCTTACAAATGGCACACATGTGGGAAAGAACCAACCCTTCAATCCCCATTGGTGCATATCAATAGTGTTGACCATCTTGAGAATCATTTGTGAAGAGAAAGCTCTAATATTTTGAGGGACCCTTTGATAGTCAAGGGGCTTTTTATTAGGGCCTAATTGAAAAAGAGGATGAGGAAGTGATGGAGGTGGTGGACCAAGCTGACAGTGACAACAATGACAAAGGACAGACAATTATGCATGTTTAGTTCTTTTTATTGTGTTTGTGCATGTTCAATGTAGCATTATATGTCATCATTATCAATAATTATCAAAATATCAACTTTTATCAGGCAACACTGTGATACCATATGATACCATGGAATACACCTCAAGAGTGCATGAGATTTCATGGTACCAAGTCCAAAATCTGATACATGTAAGGTGATACACACCAATAATGTCAGCTCAGTTTGGGAACAGCACGAATACAAATATGTACAGTGCAAATACAAGGCTTTGCACTGTCCATATTTGTATTTGTACTCTTCCCAAACTGAGCCATCAAGATTTTGAACCGTGTGCATGACCATAAGACTACATATCCGGTTTTGTATAGGTAATGAGAAATTTTTACTAAAATATCAGGATGCAAAAGAAAAGGAGTAGCATTCATGTTCGTTTCATTTCCTTTAATGAATCCAGTGCATCTTTTTTTTTTATTGGTAACTTTTCTTTATTAATGGTGAGAATGTAATATTTACAATGCTTATGTACATGTAACTGCTTCATCATTAAGACCCATGTTCATCCGCCCTCCCTCTATTTCTATTAATACCTTTTGCATATATCTAACATTTGTGATCCCTCAATACATTTACTCCCTGCTTTTAATGGAAGGTTTATTTTACTTTTCAAAAAAAAATTACATTTACTCCCTGTTTGCCCCTTGTTTTGCAAGTTCATCAGCTATACGATTTGCTGATCTAGGTACCCATTCAAATGAGAATAATCCTTTCCCTTGCAACATGCTTGATTTCTCTCAAGGTATGCCAGTACTGCCAGGTTCCAAGTTCCTTGAGTTACAACTTCTCAATCACTAATCATACTCGTATGAATGACATAGTGAGTGGTTGAAGACAAGAAATTGAAGGACCTTGATGGCCCATATCCACACTTAAAAGCACATGCAAACGTAAAAATATTTCCCCCCCCCAAAAAAAAGGACTAAAAACAGAAACTATGCAGTGCTAATGCATTGCAACAAAAAAAGGCTTCAAATTTCCAGCGTAATGCTACAATTTGAGGCTAATATTTCCAACATTGGTCCCTTGTCAAAAGAAACTTTGGCTGACCACCCATAGCATATGAGTGAAATGAACTTCTGGGAAGAATCAAGACCACAGAAATGTGCTTGAGATATCAGACATTATAGGAGTAAAATGGACACAAGTCTAAAGCTTTTCATTTAGCTTCAAATTTTCCAGGTTGTGGAGCTGCCAGCTTTGAGACACAAYTCCCAGATCAAGTTCCCTCAGATATGACATATTCCAAGAGAGAGTCAATACAGGACCCCAGGTTCAGATGGTTAATTGAAGGATCCTGTTTCAGGATTCAAACCAAGTAGAAAAAAGAAGGTTAAAAGATTTATATAGCAGGCAGAAGCAGTAAAAACACCAAACTCTATTGAAATATGAAATATCAGGTTGATGGATAGAAGTTTCCTTTTTTTGTTCAAAAGCAAAACAAGATTCTTTATTTCGTTCTTGCTTTATTTCTTTGGTAGATAAGCTTCAGTTGTTGGCTGTCAGTAAGAAACTTAAAAGTACTAAAGATGGGATTCTACACAGAAAGACATTAGCAACTAAGCTAGGTATTACCTTTCAAGTTCCCATTATTGTTCAAGAACAAAACAAGTTTCATTATTTTGTTCTTCCTTTATTTCTTTGATAGATAAGCTTCAGTTGTCGGTTGTCAGTAAGTGAATAGAGTGCTGAAGATGRGATTCTACACAAAAAAGACATTAGCAACTAGGCATTACCTTTCAAGTTCTCAAAACCCTTTATTAATATTTTAAACAAAAAATTCCCAGCAACCAAAGATGCAACAGCTAAGTGGCTTAAATTTAAATCAAGCCATGCTTGACTCCAATGAACTAACCTCTCCAAAAGCTCCTCTTCCAATAATGGTTAGAAGTTCAAAGTCGTCGACGCAAATCTTGTGCCTCTTAAGTCGCATAAACTCTGTCTCTTTCCGTTCCAAATCCTTGATCAGATTAATTTGTTCCTCTTGAGGGACATCTGAAGAAGCTAATTTCCTTTCTAACACCCACCGCCTGAAATACAACCAAATTGTGTCAAGGATAATGCCAAGAGAACTCACAAATCCAATCAGTACCTGTGCATTCTACTAATTGAAAGCTAAGCAAAACAAGAAAAAATTTATCAATGTATAAAATAAGAATCAAGTAAAAAATAAATATAAAATATAAAAGAAGAAACAAAACTTCTATAAATAATTTGGTACAAAGATACATGTCGAATAAGGTAAAGAAACAAAGGGCATAAAAAACAAAATTTGACTGATGGGAACTGCTGAACATTATTAGACATCTGAAGTGCATCACTTAGGATAAAAAAAGGTCAGAAGCTTTTCATCCTAAAGATTGTAGACCTATAAGCCTAGTGGTAAGCCTGTATAAAATAATTGCTAGGGTACTATCACTTAGGATTTTTTGAAGAGTAATAAAAAAAATTATTAAACTTTATGGGAGCAGTCAAGGCAACTCAGATCCTTCGGGAATTGGAGGAGTCATAAGAAATAAGGGATCATAATAGCACTTTATTTAGGACCGGTGGGGAAGGAGACTCTTTAAAGGCTGAACTGTTTGCAGTTTTACAAAGTGTTCAGACTGCAAAAGAGATGAACTTGGAGAACCTGGTGATTGAAGGGGACCCCAAGGTAGTGGTAGGCTGGCTAAAAGATCCGGACTCAGTGAATTGGTGTTATAGAGATGAAATGAAGAAGTTCCAGTGGTTAACACGGCAGATTTGGTGTTTAAAGGCTGATTCATTAGCTAAGCAAGGAATAATTAGGGATCAGTTGTATTGGGCGCAATTGTAATTACTGTGCTGTTTTAGATTTAATAGTGAGGCTGCACCTCACACCTCCCTTTGGGATGCTTGTAACAGTGCCTATCCTTATTGATTTCAATGAAATCTTAATGATCTCTTACTCATCAAAAAAAAATAAAAACAATTAAAAAGAAAAAAGGTTACAAAGTAGGGTGACAAGATGGCATGGAACCCCACAATACAAAGCAACTAGAGACCAACAAAAGCAGGAATGAGCATTACAAATCTGAAATTCAAGCACATCCCAAAAAAAACTCCCCCTTATCTGATCTGCTAATTTGTTCAAACTCAGGGAGCACCAGAGCTCAATCTGAAACATAAAGCCCAACTAAAGCCACCAGCATCTCGAATTTTGGACAACACCCTCTCAAAGACCCTTGGAAACCAATTCCAAGTTTCCAACCACTCCCCACTGCCCCCACCCCCGAATTTCTTCCTTCAGGTTCATGTTGACTAACTCCAATTTTGTTTCCTGTAAAAGAACCGCCTGGTCTGTAATGCCTGAATAAGCTCTTGAACACTAATCTCCCCTTGTTTTTCTTCAGACCTCTAACACACCAACTCACTATCCTTATTCTTAACCCCCTACCTTACCCCTGACCTAAGTCAAAATCCAACTCCTTACATATCTTCTCCCAGCACCTCCTCCTCTCCCCCTTCTTCATCCCAACTATGTTCTTTGAAAGATTTTCCTATCTCTTGTTCTTCTCTTCCCTCCTGGCTTTTTCGAACTGTTCGAAAGCCCTTCTTGCAAAATTTTCCCCTCTCCAAAAAAAACAAACCCAAAAATTTACCCATTGTCACCTCCTTCTCAACTAAAGTACTAAATTCCATACCACTCTTACGCACACCTTCCGAAACCCCTTGTTCCCCTTCTCTCCCTTTCATTGCAACCTCTCGCCCCCTGTTCAACCAAAGTACCCATTGTCACCTCCTTTTCCTTTTCCGTTTTTTTTTATTAGCAAGTGAAATTCATTTATTAAACTGAAACAGGATTACAGGTGTTTTAGCTACTAAGCAGCCCAAGATACAAAGAAGCAAGAAATCCCATTGCCTTTTTACTACAGCAATTACAACTGTGCCCAAAATAATGTTGGTCTATCAGCCCCCCTGTTTAGCTAGAACATCTGCCAATCCATTTGCTGACCTCTTAACAGCAAAAATGTGCATTTAACCTTTCTAGCATGACAATCAATTTCCCTGAAAGTAAGTCTGTACTTCCAGGGTATTGAGTAGCTTTTCTTTGCCCAAAAAATGACCAAAAGTGAGTCTCCTTTAACTTCCAGCTCTCTAATTCCAAGTTGTACAGCTAGTTTCAAGCCTTGCAAAAGAGCCATAATTTCATCCTGAACTGAATCTCCAAAGCCTATTGGTCCTGAGAACAAAGCCACTACTACTGCTTGATAGTTTCTAAAAACTCCTATGCCTGCCCTCCCTGGATTGCCAAAAGAGTTGTCATCAAATTTGAACTTCAGCTTATGTATCGCTGGTGGTTTCCAAACCATTCTGACTACTTCTTTGTGCATCTCTGTTTGTACCACTTCAGTCCAATTCCTTATTATGTCATTTATAGAAATGTCTCTAAAAAGTTCCAAAGTTTTTACACAATGTGTTGACCTGACTTTTATAGTTTCAATCACTTCCTCCTTCGACCTTATCTTTTCATTGAATATCCTTTGATTCCTTTCTTCCCAGATAGTCCAGACCAAAGCTGCCCTTACTGCATCTTCCCCTTTTTTTCTGTTGCCTCAAGAAGCTGGGGTTCAACAAACTAACCACATCCTGTTGGGGAGCCTATCTGCAACCAAAGAGAGAACAAAAGTAGTCCCAAATGCAAGACACAAAGGAGCAGGAGATTAATAAATGAGGAGGGGTCTCACCACAAGCCTTACAAAGGATACATACATGAGGAGAGAGGCATTTATTTGGCCTTCTTTTCTGTAGCACATCACAGGTGTTAATTTCTCCAAGAAACACTTCCCAGCAAAGAGTTTGTACTTTGGGAGGGATTGGTTTGCACCAAATTTCTCTCACTGGGAAGTTTACCCCCAAAGAATCTGAGTGAATAAGAAGGCTAAACAAGGATGCATAAGAGAACAAGCCATCAAGGGAAGGAAACCAAACCCTACCATCCAGAGAGTTCTAATCCGGAAAGACTTTCGAAACTTGGAAGTAAAAGGATAAGTGAATCACACTCATTATCTCTAAAGCCCCTTCTAAAACCAAAGTCCCCATTTAAACCAAAGTCTAAGGGCACCCCGAATCTAGAAACAGATTCATATCCTTAAGATTTGACAAAGAGTAGAGTCCAAGGAATTACAAATTAAGGGGTAATTCCCCTAGCTAGAGATCTTCCCAAAATAAGACATGGTCCCCGCTACCCACATCAAAATGGATACAATTTAAAAAAGTTGGTAATACCTCAGAGATTGCTTTTCACGAGAAACTGGAAGTTGCATGAAGCACTAGTGTTGCATCCCAGCCATTGTTTGCCACACCATGAATGCTTCCAATGACCTTGTGCCATAGTTTATCTCCTTCTAAAGGAAATCTCCATCAAAATGTTTCCAATGGTCCCCACATTCCACATCAAAATGGACAAAATTAAGAAAAGTTGGTAATACCTCAGAGATTGCTTTTCACAGGGAACTGGAAGTTGCATGAAGCGCTAGTTTTGCATCCCAGCCATTGTTTGCCACACCATGAATGCTTCCAATGATCCTATGCCCCAGTTTATCTCCTTCTAAAGGAAATCTCCAAAGCCACTTTCCTAAAAGAGTTGTGTTTCTTTTGACCAAGTTCCCAATGCCTAGCCCTCCTTGTTCCCTAGATTTACACACCTATTCCCATTTAACCAAATGATCTTTCTTTTCATCTCTTGGCTCCAACAAGAAATCCCTCATTAATTTTTCTATTGTCTTGCTATTTTTATCGGGATTCTAATGGTGGACAAGAAGTAAGTGGGCAAGTTGGCTAGGGTAGACTTGATCAGGGTAATTCTCCCTTCTTCCACAAAGCTAACTTTTTAGCAAATCTTTCTACTATTGGTTTCCAGAAGCTACCTGCTCCCAGGTTTCCTCCTAAAGGCAAACCAAGATACTCTAGAGGCCAATTTTTCACCTCACAACCTAGTAGACCTACCAGCAAATGGATGTTTTCATCTCTCATGTCAATTCCAGCCACGCAACTCTTACCCCAGTTCACTTTTAACTTAGAGATCCTTTGGAAACAATCAACCAAAGCTTTTAACTTTTAAGTTCCTTGGGCTGACCTCAGTACAGTCCTCACAAAAGATGATTATGTCATCCGCAAACTACAAGTGAGTCACCACCACCTCATTTCTACCAATCCTCCAACCTCTAAATTGGTTTTCTAGATCATCTTTAATGATTAACCTACTCAAAACCTCAGCAACAATGGTGAACGAAAAGGGGGAAATGGAGTCTCCTTGCCTTAATCCTCTTTTAGACGGGAAAAAGTCCCTACCCACTCCATAATAAATACCGAGAAATGTGCCAAGCTAATACAGCCCTTGATCCACTTTCTCCATTTCTCACCAAGACCGATTTTTTCCAACAAACACAAGAGGAAAGACCAATCCACCATATCATAGGCCTTTTCCAGATCCAACTTGCAAACTGGTCCTATCCCTCCCTACGTTTTTCTTTTCTACCACACACTCATTTGCCACAAGAATTTGGTCAATTATTTGTCTCCCTTCTACAAAGGATCCTTGATTTTGGGAAATTACCAAAGCCAAAATAGTCTTAAATCTCCTTACCAGAACTTTAGTAATGATTTTGTAAAGGCTACCCACTAGGCTTATAGGCCTAAAGTCCTTTAGAGTTTTGACCTCTTTCTTAGGCACTAGGTCTAGGAAGGTAGCATTGGCTACCAGTGAAATTTCCCCTTTTTGATAAAATTCAAGAAACACATCCATCAAATCATCTTTTATGATTTCCTAGCAGTTCTGATAGAAAGCAAGTGAGAAACCGTCAGGTCTTGGAGCTTTAGATCTTTCCATTGAGAACACTACATCTTGAACCTCATCCTTACTAAAGCTCCTTTCTAAGAGGGCTGCTTGAGTTTTCGAAACCCTGGTCCAATCCAATTCCCTCACTTCCTAACCCCTTTCCCCTAAGGAGGAAAAGATTGATTTAAAATGATCCACAAAGGCATTGACAATCTCCTCCTTTGAAGT